GTGCTATAGGTACTGATGCTGTCTCCCAAACTAAGCGAAAGCTTGTATTTTGGGTGGTGTTATATAGATTGTATTATTTGTATGGTTATTTTACAGCTTCATCGGTTTGTTTGCTATTTATTTTGATATAAAAATGTGATTTTCAACTATGGGGCTAGTTGTATCATTGACTTTCACCCCGTCCCTACTTCGAGCACTAGCCCCGCCAACCGTTTACCTTCTCCGCGGCTCCATATCGGCAATTTCTTAAGCATGGTAGCACGAATTAAGTTCTGGGAGCTTATTCATATAGTATTCATTATTATGGTATTTTATTAGACTAATTCTATTTTGTCTCATGGTGAAATGGGATAGCAACATGAATAAAATTCTAAATTACAATGTAGATTTAAGTGTGTTAAAGCAAAAAGGATTTGATCTCTGGTATGGTGAAATATTTCAAATCATGAAGTTTTCAGTATACCTACTTTAGTTAGAATTCAGAGAGTTTGATAATTATTCGTAGGTATATGAGAAGAAAATCAAATCAAGTAGAAAAACAAAGATAACATCTGTACAATTGACTAACTAATAAAAATAATGATGTAATAAATGTATTATATTCTGCAAGTTAATTGCGAAACAGTAATTATTATGATAGTTAAAATTGAACTTATACCAAAACATCCGTAACACATCCTAGTAAAAACTAAATACACTAACAGCGCTCAAGTTAAACGGCCAGTATAAATAGACCTCACACTGTTAAGACTCTTCATACAATAAGAGATCAAACTAGATTGTTATGATCCTATATATGTATATTTGCCAGTATAAATAGACCTAGCACTATGTACAATCTTAATACATCAAAAGGTCAGACTAAATTGGAAATTTACGATCCTATGTACTCGCAAAGTATTGATGAAATCATCACTACCGGCTGTTGTGACCTTTTGATCCGAAGCTAAATATTATATTTTTTACATTAAAACAATTGAAAGTGCAATCGGTACTCGATCCCAAGGTCATATATGAATGTAAGTGATGACTTTTTGTCTCGAGTGCTTTATTGTGTGCAAATGTCAATTTGTAGTAATTTACGGTTATGTAGTGTTTATTGTGATATTGTATTTGGTATATTAAAAAATGTGGTTTTAAATTACTTTACTTGAGTGTTTTCAAAGGAGACAGTAAAGTTACCAAAACTACTTTTGTGGATTTTACTCATAGCTCGATAACCTAATAATGCTCTTTATTAATAGGCTCTGCTTGTAATGGCTTTTTAGGGAAAATTGGGTTTAAATAAGGTAAATCGTCTACTTCTTACATAGTTATTGAACTGATGTTCTTATCAAGTAGTCGACTATTTCATGGAACAAGTTATTTCAGAGAGTGCAGTTGCAACTGACAGTTTATATTCGCATAGCGACTTAGACGTACATATTGTGATTGCTGAATCAAAACCAGCATTATATTATATAGAGGTAGAAATCTATTCTAACACTCACTAATAAACTTACATAACACCCAAACTTAATAGCTACCTATTCAGTCCAGAACAACAGGATCACTTTTATATATTCAATTAATCGATACAAAACAATACGATTGATTGATAAACTTTTAACTCGAAACAAAAAGGTATTAATGTACTCATACACTCAACGTCAAACGTCTTTCATCGATTCGAATCGCCCATTGTATCGATTAAATGCATGTCGTAATCGATTGTACCAATCGATACGAATAAAAAAATATTATTATTTCCGACCTTACCCAAGGCATTAATTGTTGCTGGAATAGTTAACTGACAATTAATTTAATTAAGAATGTTGTAAATGACTGTTGTATAAGTTCTGCTAAGGGAGGTCAAGATGCAAAGTGAAATAGATTATGGTGTTGTCGCAATAGAAAACACGATGGTCATTTTGGGGTCTTTATGGAAATTCTGGTTGGGTTTCTGTGTGGTCTCAATTTCCATTGATTTAGTAAATACTAATCGTATCAGTACTGTATTGTACCTACAAGTCTTGGTCGAGAAATGTTTCCTTGATTTATTAGTGATCTAAGTCGTGTTTGAGATCTTGGAGTATAGAGTAGAACCAAACATTTTTACTTAGATTTTTACCAAATAAATTTCAATTTAAAGTATCATTACTTATCAGAAATTCATTTTTCTACCAAACATCTTAAGAGAGCAGAAAAATCCAACCAAATACTCAGCCGACCCCACATGCCAAATCACATAATTACACATACAAAATTCAATCTTGCTGCTGTAGGAATACAGTCGATCAAAGTCAAAGTCAAATTAACAGACATTCTGACAGTATATACATCATATCAATCTTTTGATTGGTGCTGCAATGTTTATAAGAGGTGTGAAGATACAGATTATGAAATCTAATATGAGTTTTAATTTTGCTGAGTCATTCGAAACCTTATGAGAGCGATGTATGACGCATTAAAAGCGAAACATGTCGATTATGATATGTTTATATTAAAGTTTTTTTTTTATGTAAGATGTGGCTACTTCTGTGGCTTTGTCTGTTTTACCGAAATGGATTGGGCAGTCCGATAGGTAAAGGATGAACAATGACTGAGCGAATATATTTTGACAGCACTCCAGTTGATGCACAGGCTGAGCAATTGATTTCTGCACTGCTATTACATATGATGTGCATGTAAAATTAAAATTTGTAAATTCATCTATGACATGAGAGGTAGTATTCATTATGTGGGTTTTATAGATTCTCTTATCAATCAATCTGTACAGAGTTTTGAGATTATAGTAATCATGGGAAGAACATGAATGATGACAATGATGACTGTCCAAAGCATTGCTAACTAACAAATGATTAATGTATATAACAGTAACACACAGCCTCTTAACTTCCCTATAAAGCCTCCAACAAAATTACATATCAGCGATACCCATTATCAATTCAAGGTTTTCAATACACTCGTAAGAAATATGTAAGTAAGAACATTTATTAAAATAATATTCAATTGTAAAGGTTGCTACGTAATAATAGTGAACGAATGTTGCCATAAATCTCGCGTATGGTATGAATAGAACCTAGATTGCTTGGGACCTTGACCTACAAAGCCTTGGTTACACCGCCTGGCTCCGTTCGTCAAAACCGGCTTTTGAACTCAGGATTTTTACTTGCATGAAGCATGGTGGTTGATGAAATGGCGTATTGATTGAATGATTGATCATTCTGATGGGTTATGTTGTAATGGGTTTTTGTTGCTGATATTGTGTTTTAGTAGTGTAAATATTGGTTGTGGTTAAATAGTAGTTTCATTCATTAAAATAAGATTATATGTGAAGCTCTTCAGGCATATGCATTCTTTTTATTTCATTATTTTTAAAAAAATGTAAAGCGATTTTATAATTTTTACACGAAAGGAAAACAGTTCATAAAATAATGACATTTAAATTAACTATACCATAATTAAATCTCGCTCGTGAAGCTAAAATTTTAAACTCCATAATTCAATTCTAAAACAATAAATAAATTGTTCATAAATATTAAAATAAATTAAATGTAATGAAATATTTAACAGATACAGTAGGCAATAAATACAGCTCTTGAAATAAAATGCCCGGAGCCATGTTGTATTGTGAATCATCACCTATCTTAGTTAGCAATAGAATGCGTATGAGCAACAGAAAATGATACTTATTAAATGGACATACAGTTATTTATTACATGTCTATTTTTATTATTTCGTAGGAAAATAAATTGTCCTGCGACTTAGACTGCATCTTCAGATCACAATATTAAAATATTGTAGGACAATTTTGATTTTAAAGTTTTCCTTAGTTATGACATAAATCTAATTTTCGAAATTGGTACAGTGTTCTAGAATCTGGTTATTGGTCATTTTTTTCTATTTATACAAATAATAGATATGTCAGATATAGATAATTTGAAAGACATTATTATTTAGGTTCGTTTGCTGCAGTATGAGTAAAGCATTTCTGTTTTAACATATTATGTATTAAAACATGGAAGATGATGATGATGAAAGATTTATTGATTCTGTGGGGAGTAAAATAATCAAGTAAATCATGGAGGGAAAAGATGTCAATTCATTTGATTTCAATTCACTTTATTATATGGGCATACATGTGAGAAATTATCACTAATTTAAACTCAAAGTAACTTAATGATCACTTAACCCAGTTCTCAAAACAGAACAAAACCGTTATTAAAAAATAGTTATAATGATTGAATATCTTTAACACGTTAAACGCCATGGGGGTCACCGGTGACCGGCGTTAGCGGAGGATTTGCCTTCAACAGATTTTTATTGGCAGTCAAAGTCTTAAGTACGGCAGTTAGACCACCTACAGATATATATAACCAATGACGTTGAAGAAAAGATGGACCTAATTTCACCCAGAAATTATTGAAGCACCAAAATGTCAGTAGTGCATTTATGTGTGCGTGTACTTGCAACTCCGTAATGTATGAAGTGTAATGACAAGCGATGTCACGCGACAGATGTCCTTCGTGTCGATGTGTGTGTATTCTGCGTGTAATTCTATAGTAGCCGGGTGCTACAGTCGTTGTTTCAACAGACTATGTCCGCCTATTTTTCAACGTCCGTATATACAACTACTAATTTTAAATCAATAAACCGAAAATAATTACTATACATTTAGTCAAAACGCATATATATATATATATCTATTACACTTTGGTCCCATAACAGGTTCCTAGTAATTTTCTGCCTGTTTTAAAATTCAAATCGTATGTTAATGTGACATAGCGCAGCCGACACTAATTGGATTAACGCACTGATATACAATATACATATATATATTACCTATATATATTATGTTGGACTAAACAGTGGTTAAATGTTTATGTGGTTTAAGCTATGGGCTGTTGTAGTTTTAGTTCGATTACTTATTTAATTAATTGTCATAGGTTTATGTTTGTGTATTTTATTGGTTTTGTTATTATCCTATAATTATTTATTCTATCCTATACTTAATTGACTCATTTTTTTATAGCATAAGCCGGTAAACGGGCTGACGGAGCACCTGATGGTAAGCAATCGGCACCGTCCATGGACACTCGAAACACCAAGGCGTTACAAGTGCGTTACCGGCCTTTTGGGAATTGGGAATTTGAGGGTTGTAGAAGATTCGGGGATTCGGGAGACGGGGACTAGGAAGGGGGGTAATTGGGCCTCCCGTAACCTCACTCACACGATGATACACAACGCAAGCGTTGTTTTACGTCGGTTTTCTGTGAGGTCGTGGTATCACTCTCCCACATTTAGACATCCCACACTTTTCTCATTGACAAATTTCCTAAATTCTGGAGTTTGACCAAAAACCTAATAATATTTACTGGTCACTGGGAGATCTGGCCTGGAATTAGATTTGGCTAGAAATTATCATCTATTTCCCCATAGTTTAAAATGCATTTACATAGTTAAGTTTACTTTTAACAATTGGCTAGTTTCCTAGGTTTAAAATAAATTGTTTTAACTTTTCAATACAATAAATAATTAAAAAATAATTTACTCTCATCCATTGATTTAACAATTTACCTACTTATAGTATTTTTCTCACGAATTGTAAAGAAATAATATTTATGCTATTTGACGCAGAAATATGATGTCGTCATAAGTCGCGATCCGATACAAAATTCATGTAAAAGTATCGTTTTTGACATTTCAATAAAAGTATTGATTTGACCACCTGTCAACTACTGTATTGTAGACTCCGAAATATTAAGGAATTTAAATAGTGTATTTAGATTTATTGTCTCTATTGTAATCTAAGACTTATATGATACAATTGAGACAATGAGTACATGCAAAAAATGATAACGACTGCTAGTTAAACTCCATATAAACGATTACAAAAAAAAACATCTAAACGTTCCCAGTACTCATACCTAGAACAGGTACCAACTACACCCAACTACAATTTACTACCAACTCTCAGTAATTATTTCTAATTATAGTGCAATTGTAAACACAAACGAACAAACAATTGCGATACGTCGATAATAGGCCGCTAAGTGTCGGTGCCGCACCCCTGCGCCCGCGCACCACGTAATCATACAGTGATGCGCGCGCGCTTATCACGATTACCTTAGCTTCGATCTTTATAGGTTATACGCTATTGGCTTAGATTTTAAACGAAGATAAGTTTTAATTTTACGTTGGTTAATTTGGGTTTTGGGTGGTTGTGTTAATTACTGTTAATGGTCATCGTGTCAGTTACATAGTTAAAATCAAAGTATCCTTTAGTTTTTCAAAAAGTGGTGCCTCGTATATTTTGGTATCTCTTAATCCAAGAATGTATGGAAGGAAGGAATCGTAGTAATTGGTGTTCCATAGTCTCTGCCTACCCCCATGAGAGACAGGCGTGAAGTTATGTATGTATGTTAATCCAAGAAAGGGGATCATGAAATGGCCTTTTATTATTTAAGTAATATTACATTATTCATTTGCATCTTTAACACAAACATGATGTTTATTACTGAAACAAATCATAAATACTTTACGGAAAACCGTTAGCGCTTGTTTTTGTAAACTAGACACGTAATCAAATTTATTACTACCTAATATTTTATTTATCAAGTATACGCTAGTCATAATTATTAACAAATAAATCAAAATTCTCACACCACTAATCAAAATATGCAATGAAATTATCTACGCGTTGATCAAGGAACTTTGTTTTAATTTAATTTGAACTAATATTATAAAGAGGTGATATTTGATTGTTGGTTTGTTTATAATAAATTGACTACAAAGCAATTGGACTGATCCTTCCTCCTTCGGATCCGGATCGGGCATCAGCCCTATTGGGCCCCATCTATGGTGGGCATCAGACCACCATGAACACTTATACAAAGGCTCAAATGCAAAGGCCTCCCATTATGTCTCCCAAAGTGCGTTACGGCAGATCCTAGGACTTATAATGTCTCCTTTGAGCCCCGCTGTGGTGCATAGAATCGCAACCCAATCAAAATATATCTTCTAAATCCGCAGACGAAGCCACAGGTGGATCATTAGTTTAATAACATTTTGATGTATGTTCCAAAATATTTATTTGTGCGTGTTTAATGCTCAATAAAATTGGAGGTTGTCCATTATCTGATTGAACACAAGATATTTGATCATCAGCATGTAACTTGCATAATAATGACTAATAATTATTATTTTGTATCTTAATATAATAAATTTTTAGGTATCTCGTTGGAATTTTTATCGATATTTATTTAATGTCCGATTTGATCAGTTCCTGGCTTGTTAGTTTAGATTTTGCAATTGGTGGACAATCGAGCAAAGGTAAGATGTTTGACTTATTTTTTTTTTTTAAATATATCAAAAAGTATAGAATACCGTTTAGAATGTGGCTCAATAACAGTAAATAACAACACACTAAAGATGACATGAGAAGTCCGAGACGGGCTTTCATCATCAACAGCCTATAAATGCCCACTGCTGAGCAAAGCCTCTTCTCACATGGAGAAGGTTTGAGCATTAATCACCACGCTTGCTCAATGCGGGTTGACGATTATAAACTTATAATTAGAAATTATAAGCCCAGGTTTCCTCACGATGTTTTCCTTCACCGTTTGTCAGTAGTGTCTGAATAATCTTAGAAAGTACATATAACTCGGAAAAAGTCACATTGGTACTTGCCGTTGGTAGGTTTCGAACCCTCACCTTCATGCATGAGAAGCGGGGGTCTTAAACCTCCGGGCCACCACGACATATAAAGCCACAAACAAAATATCATACTAAAATAAGTTATTAATAAATTCCTTGAGAACGGTATTTCACATCACCAAATTCTTGTATTACCGATCATATCCATAATAACAACAAAATACTATGATTACAAGATTACATGAGTAATCGATGTAATTTTTGTGAACAAAAGTGATAATTTCGCACAAAATTGTTGGCAAGGTCGTCTCGAGACGAATCGGTAATTGCCGGTATATAATATTTATTATTATTATTCAATGACTGAGTTTTTTAGGGAAATAGTTTTGTGTGTAATCTTTTGTTTTAGTGTTGTACTGTTTATATATTACAACATGACAGATGTATGACATACATATATTATCTGTTATGATCTTGGAAGAATAAATTACCATTTTCCTTCCAATATTGATGTGAAAAGATTTTAAAATAAATCGAAAATATAAGGCTAGTACTAATAGTAGCACTCTCTTCTGGTTAACACTTTTGTTATTACGTAGAAATTTAGAAAAGAGGGCAGTATGACTGCATACGGTGCGCATACCCTTATGGTTACCTACATACATAACATAATGTAACATCACGCGTTTCATCCTCGAAGGAGTAGGCAGATGTTACATTGTACAGTGGCACTTAATGCCACTGTAGAATGTAACATCCACTTTTCACTATTTATGTTATGAGTCCCATGTAATAGGAGGTGAGTCTATTACCATACCATATACCAAATAATAAATAAAATTCAGTAATACTTTGCCCAACCCAGAAATCGAATCCGAGACCCTTGCCGAGTCGCACTTGCGACCACTCGGCCAACGAGGCAGTCAAAAATAAATACTGTAAGGTTAAAAACGACTTATTTCTTCACATCAATCTACTTAGCTTCCTACTGAAGAAATACACAAACGACGACCAATGACCATGCCCCTTGACTCCGTTCATCATCCAAATAAACTTAAACAAAAACGTCTAATAAAATTTTTTGAGCAAAATGATTGATAGACAAGACTATTTGGAATCGATTCCCATTAAATATAACCTTAGTAATAGCACTTTAATTCACTGCATTAGCACGCAATGATATGTGTCGGCAGTCCTTCATAAAGCTATTAACTAAAGCTTCCGACAACAGGCTGTATATCTTTAAGGCCTGTTTAAATGGAACTGACTGTTTATTCTCTGGGTGCTCAATCTCCAAAGCGGTCACCTGTGACCGCTTTCCATTATAGACCTTATTTCCGATGATTAGAGGCTACTTTTGTATGAACAAATTTTTGGGGATATTTAGTACAATATGTCAACGTATTAGGGAGTTTCTTTAAGTTGCTAAGCATTTTTGGACTCTATTGTTTCTCAAGTTAATGGTGATAGTAGGGCAGAATACGTGAATAAATTAACTACCACGTGCTATTCCCCTTGTAGATATCGTAAGAGGCATATGGGTTAAAAAGTATAAAATTATTTACGTACCACGTAACTTCACGCCTTTTACTCCCGAAGGGGTAGCCAGGAGTGCACATTACGACACTTAATGCCACTGTACAATATAACACTTACTTTTCACTTGCCTGAGCCTAATACCATATACCGGGCATAATTCCTAAGTCCGTGCGACTACTGAGAAGTTTTAAAAACCTCAGTAATACTTTGCTTGACTCGGGAATTAAATTCGAGACTCCTTGCCCGGCAGTCGCACTTGCGACCACTCGGCCAACGAGGCAGTCGAGTTTGTCGCATTGGATTAAGTCTATAAAGGCAAACGTAGTATCTATGTGTGCAAATAAATAAATAAATATATTTCCCAAGACTGCTTTCTGATAAGCCTGAACACACAAAACTATGAGTATAAGTGTCATATTAGCCAAACAGTTATTGATATTATTATTATTACTGGATACAAGTTCAGACTCTCAAGAAGGTATCCTAACGAAGTTAAAGCAATACTATTTTTGGAACCTTGTTGTCAATTGATACTCTTGAGACTAAGCTAACATAAACATATTAAAATCGCACATAGTAATAATGTATTCTCAGTACAATTCTACACAAACATGTTTATTTAATAACCAAAATGAACTATAAGTAATAATTAAAAGCAATTACGATGAATATTATTAAGTGGGAAAGCAGAGGTCAAGATGTATCGACGATAGCCCAAGGGTGTTGTGATCAGCAGTCAATAACAGTCGCTGTCGATCGTGAGGTCGCCGGTTCAATTACGCTAGCTCAACTATTGTGATGAATCACTTCAAAACTAGAATTCTTTTAATTGAAATGTTCGTGTTGTAATGTGTTGGTGAAACAATAGATTAAGGATTAAGTTGTTGAAATAAAATGTGAGTGTGTGGTTTCTATTATTGAAAGTTAACTTTAAGTAATAATACATATCCTCTTTATAATAATTTTAATTTTTATACTACGTACCTAGTGCATTTTATTTGTTATAAACCGTTTTGTTAGAATAAATGTATCTGATTTATCTTCTCTATTTTGGAACAAACTGAATATACTTCATTTACATTACCAGTTACATTAGTAGACGATAATAATAATAATATATGTTAGCTAGTTAGCTATATATACTGACCAGATTAAAGAAGGGCCAAATTAAAAGTACCCTTAACCAACGAGCATGCATGAAAAGTTTGATGACTGTTGATGAAGCGAAAGAGGAATCGTAGTAGTTGGCGTTCCATAGTCTCTGCCTCCCATGGGAGACAGGCGTGAAGATATGTATGTATGTATGTTAGTTAGCTCTCCTATACCTACAAAAATACTTCAAAGAAAATAAAAGAAAATCCCAAAGCAAACACATCCCAATCCCGTACAATACCATACAATCCATCCCAATACTCGCCATTGCATATCAGCATAACAAAACGCAAATAACAGATCACCAGCAACTTAATTAGGCACAAACCATCTCACATATCGATAGTTCCCAGGATGGTATGCAAAAATTGTTGAGAAAATACCACAGCACTGCGTGGTCGATAATTCCCGGGACGCACACCGGTAATTTCAGCATTTAGCCCTATACAGTGGGAATTGTAATTGTCTGAATTCGTTTTACGCACTGCCACTTGAGTCATATCATACAGTGCGGCGTTGTTAATAGTGTTGGGAACACGTTTTTGGGGTATTATGTCGATGAATTGTGTTTAGTAGGTATTAATGCGTGGAAAGTATTTTTGTGTATAGCCTTATATATATATATATATTATTTGGAAGTTTTCATCACACATCCACAGCCTATAATGACAACACAACACTACTGAGCAAAGCCTCTTCTCATACGGAGAAGGTTTGGAAGTTTTACTTTATATAAAATGTTGTGTGATGTAAATGTTTGACTAGTTTAATTAAAAAGTTATAACTATAAAATAAAATTTAATTGCTCAATATTTATATCTCTATTATTATTTTCTGAGAAAAATCAAAGTGTCAGTCTAAAAAAATATTAGAAAAAAAATTGTTCGTATCTAAAAATATACGTTTAAGGATATTGTTATTTTTTGCATAGATAGATTTTTAAAGAATTTTATTTTTACGACCCATCATTGGCATAAAACTAGCCAGCTATCGATTGCCAATAAAACAACAAAGTCTAAACTATGGAGAAGTCAAGCATCATCGAGAAGCGAGCTCAGCAAAATCATAATTATGCAAAATGCGTTTCCCACGACCCGTGGACAATCGAACGTTTATCGAGTGGCCAGGACCCCTATTCTTTATCGATTATTTCTTATCGATGTTGCGTAATTTAAGTCAAGTTGTTAACGAACAAAAAAATAAATTACGAACTTTGAAAGGTACTTGAATAGATTTTTTATGAAATAAGTGCACCTGTTCAAATATCATTAAAACTAAATACGTTCATTAGTAATAAATCAAATTAAATGCCCCAGAAATTGATTAATTAATATCAATCTCACTTACGTTCGACTCGTATCGATATCGTTATCGTAAATCTTTCGGTGTTTAAATGTTTCTGTTTGACAAATTAAGCTATTCCGTTTTATCTATATCGAGTTTTTATCGATATAAAAAATTTTAGACACCACTAAAATTTTTGAAGTAAAAAGGGAACTCTAATTTGTTGAGATAAAGTTTCATCAACTCTATTTGACCTTAAATTGCTTTTTTAATTATATTTCTATAATAACACGAATAAGTAATAATATTGGATAAATATGAAAAGTGTATTAATAGAACAGTCGCTGCGTCGCGGGTCACGGAATGCTGCTCATGAATATAAGCCTCTAGCATGGCTTGAAACTAGTCGAGTTCCTCGTCAAACAGTTAGGTGTGTAAGCCGAAAACACAATAATTAAAACCAGAATGCGAAAACAAGTAAATAAATGTTGTTGAAAAATAGTGCATCGGACAAATAAAGCTACCTGTAAAGACCCGCTATTTCTCTGAAGACAAAGTTAATCAAAATCAGTGCAAGTATGCACCCAAAGATAAATAAAAACAAAACATAATTCCAACTTAAAAAGCATACTGGATGACTCTAAACCACCTCTCCAGAGTCGGTTACAAATATCACAATGTATAGTCGTATGACCAATAGAAAAAACATGAAAACGACTATCAGAATAGGGTTGTACTTAAATCCATCGGAGTCCGGAGCCCGGAGTCCGGTAACTCGGCCGTCCCGGGGGAATCTCGGCGAAATGTGAGCAACGTCGGCTAACATGACAGTGAAGTACGTATGTATGATAGGAATTCATTGTACTAAAGGTTAAAGCTTATTTATTAGGGGTCATTTGGAAGCTACGCAACTGGTATTCAGTTGCTAATTATTCCAAACGCTTTATGAAATATTCACTAGTTGTTGCTATTTAGGTGTGCTGAAATTAAATTGTAATGAAGTGTTCTGTCAATCAATCCTTATTTACTACTTTACAAAGCAGGGCCATTTAATTGGGGTAATGACAGGGTATGGTATGATAATAATATCTAATTAGTCCGTAAGTTAGATAATAAAAAAATATTAGACACTTATTTTTTTATTTTGTCGTATAATAAAACAATACAAAACCAAGTTTAGAAGTGGGGGCTAAAACGTCATTTCTACGTATAAAATGTTTAGTTCGTCACGTGACTTTTCAAATCAATATATCTTCAAAAGTGTTGGTTTCTGTAAGAAAATAAAAAATACGTGTCTAATGATTTAAAATAATCTACCAGACGGACATTAAAAAAAAATTAGGCATCGACCCTATTGTTCGGGTACTTCTTTTTCTGGGATACACATTTAGCAGTGGCTGTAAGTTGTGTGTATAACCTGATATGTTAAGCGAATTAAATTAAAATGTTATATTGAATTCTAAAAAAATAATTAAGCAAAAATATGAGTAATATCAAACAAATACATTCATAAAGAAAGCTTCGAAATTCCAGAGCCCCAGTAACCATGTGAACCGCGTACCTTAGCGTGCAGTACGGGCGTGACAGGCCGACTCGGGTTCGATTCCCTGCAGGCACCATTAGGGCCAATAACCATCAGTCGGTAGCCGATCTCGGCCTGCTAATTTAGTCTAATTTTCCTATCAAAACCGAAACGCTATTGTTTTTTTATGCCGACAGTAGCCGCGTAACTGTTTCATCGTGAGAACTTCGTTTTCTTATGTAATTGTAGACTTTTAGTACTTTTTTTTTTTGCGATTTTTTTGTTTTTATATTTCGGTAGTTGCGTGTGTATCGTGTGTGAAATTCGGCCTTGTGTTAACGCGGTAAATGAAGCTTGAAGGAGAGATTTTAAACGGTTAGCGTATGATAGTTACCTATCATGGTATAAGTGTGTATAAAGATATTCAAGGCGAATTTCGTAACTTAACACTTTGGTAACCTTCGTATTTGGGAATTATTTTTTATTTTTATATACTTCTGTGATCGATGTTTATATTTAGAAATGTCTGTGTGCTTAGATTATGGAAGATAATTCATGATATTTAAACGGTAGTTAAAGTGTGAAATTAAACTTGAAGAACTATGAAAACTTAAGAAGCATTAAAGTTGTTTTCGCTTTTTCGGTAGCCATCTTACTTTTCAGCATAGAAAACATTTTTTTTATGACATAAGCCGGTAAACTAGCAGACGGATCACCTGATGGTAAGCAATCGGCGTCGCTCATAGACACCTGGAACACCAGAGGCGTTACAAGTACGTTACCGGCCTTTTGGGTATTAGGAGTTTGAGGATCGTTGGGGATTCAGGAATTAGGGAGATTGGGGAAGGGGAGGGTAATTGGGCCTACGGTAACTTGCTTAAACTTAAAATTTTCACATTTTTCCTCCTACATACCTCATTTTGTTCAAGAAACACATTTCTAACACAACACATGCCCACATAGATTTTATAAATAGGTACGTATACAACATAATGAGTAAAGGATGCCCATGCGCACACAGGGGAGTGGCCCGTTCATATTACGTATTAATTTAAGCACGCTTCGTTAGCGATGCGGAGTGCTTGTCAAGTTTCTACTAACACCTGTTTTAGTCTCGTTGTGTATACTCGAGTATTATTTTATTAGTACCTAATCGTGGTTTTGTTGGTGAGTTAATATAAAGAAGAAGCGAAAAATAATAATTATGGAATAAAGTAGATATTTAGTTGATTTGATACTTATGTTTATTAATATGATTTAAAAGTTAAAGAGCAATAATAAAAATTGTAAATAACTTTTTTGTTCATAATTTTACTTTATATATATTTCCGAAATTATGATTTGGATGGCCTTTTGACATTCACATCTCATGTAGCCGGCACGATGTCAATGTTTATTTTTCACATCTTCATTTTAAAATAAATACTATAATTGTTAAAAAACCATTTCGGCAGTATATTTCAGTAGGAGAATCTTTAAAATTACTGTACTAAACATACCTTGTTGGAAGTAGTTGGATTTCCTCACGTAGACACAGACGAGAGCCATCAGTTGTAGTTGTGACAACCTCTGCCTGGTGGAAGGGGGGAGGGGCAGTAAGTCCCGAAGGTTGGCAATCTCTGCGTTGATGAGGTCGCGTCTTAGCTTGCTCGCGCCTTTCGTTGATTTGCCCTGGTCGAACCTGAAAGAATAAAAAAGTTAGTTTTGACCGCAATACTTGCCAGTTACTTGACCTATTTATTTAGAACTAAATGTAGGTACTTGTGGCTCTGTTTACACAACAATATAGTTCATCATTATCAACAGCCCATGCGGAGAGTCAAGGACTAGACTATAACTAGGATATCTCTATGTCGCGGAGAACCTAACGGGTAACCGGGGCTCCGGCTCGACGTGCAGGAGAAGGAACGGGGTGGTTTTTAGTCAGTAAGAGTCTGACACTCCCTTCCGCCTCACCCAGGCGGGAGCAGTCATTCGATGATTTTCCCCCCTTAAAAAAAAGGATATTTCTATAAAAATGGTTTGCCATAAAGTTTAGGTACGCTTGGCAGGCAAGTTGGAGATGGCAATGAAAAGAGATCAGGTATATCTAGAGAACGCTGCTGCCCGATCTCTGTTAAGTATGCGATCCCTTAGTCGACTTTTACGACGCCACAGGAAGAATAGAACTAGCGACTAGTGTATTCTTCTCTACATTCACTACACGGTTAATGTACTATTTTTACTCTATCGACAGTTTTCTTCTTGCAAACATGCTCGGCAAAACATACTCGTTCATATATTTAACACTATATGCAACAAGCAATTCATTCAACATTATTAATCCTCACTTAAAACCTCATAATGTTTAAAAATAAAACAATTAATATGTATGCAGTTATTTTAATATTCAAATAAAATTCGTTTCACATTCATATCCTCATAGAACCGTCATTTAAATCGATTATTTGTATCGATATGTAATTTTATCGATTTTATTGTGTTAGATATGAACGCGGAATATTTCCTAAAGTTACGAATTTACCTTGAATGGTAATCGAAGTAATAGTTCGAGTAATAATAAAGGTCATAGTTACTTATAACAATATTGAAATATTGTTAATGTTTGTCCATATTCTTACGAAGTTATTAGAAACCAGAATATAACATTAATGTGTGTATATATGGACAACGCGTGTAAATTTGTCTTTTTTTATAGGATAAGCCGGCAAATAAGCAGACAGATTACCTGATGGTAAGCAATCGGCGCCTTCTACGGACACCTGAAAGACTGAGGCGTTACAAGTGTGTTATTGGCCTTTTGGGGATTAGGAATTTGAGGATTGTTGGTGGTTTCGGGGCTTGGGGAGATTAGGGAGGGTGGTAACTTAGCCTCTGGTAACCTCACTCACTCGATGAAACAATGCAAGTTGCTTGTTTTACGTCGGTTGTCTGCTCGGCCGTGGTATCACTTCGGTTGAGCCGGCCCATTCGTGGCGAAGCTTGGCTCTCCCTCTTACACTTAATATTGTCTATCTCTTTTATGTATAAATGATTATTTCGAAGCCACCTGATTGAGCAGCAGAAAGAAATTATGGTCTACTATTTGGTATTTAGCTTGTAAAGCTCCTACAAATTTGAATGAAATCTTTATACCAGTATAAAACAATCGTCATATTCATAAAAACTCTAATGACACATAAAAGCAACATTTTTCTGCTTATACTACACACGAGGAAGGGTCCTTCTGTGGCTCGAAATTGGTGGAACTTTTCCGTCAATATTTTTGGTAAATCACATCAACAGCTTATAAGTATCCACTGTTGACCATTAGCCACTTCTCGCACGGAGACTGTTTGACCATACTAATAAGTGTAGAATTGAATAGACCATACTAGTAACTGTAGTATTTGTATATATATAATAAACAAAAACGCATATTTTGGACATATAGTCTGATGTATAAATAATACATGCCAATAAAAACACGTCCTTATACTATACTGTTATCTTAATTTATTATTCGAAAAACTTCGTATAAAATAATCAAAAATGTCGTTTAAAATAACCGATTGATGAAAATTAATATCCGAAATTATGCATTTATGCATATAATTGTTGAATTTGCAATCGTTTAGACGAAGATGATGGCGATTAATTGTTTTACACGGCAATTAAAATGTCGAAATTATTCAAATGTCACCTTAAATACTAATGAAGTTAAAATAGCTAAAGAAAATTGTTGGTGCTTTGTATTATACTAAGTTAGTAATCAAATAATTGGGTTAAGGTTAAGGATTTAAAATAGCGATAAATGGATAATTACAGCCTGGTAACTTCAGTGGATTAGCTCAATTCGTAAAACTGTTGACTGTGCTCGTCCATTAGATTGTTAAATTCTCCAAATTGCTATTTTCCAAAATTGCTTTCAGTAGGATTTAAACTCCGTATTATAATAATATAACTCATGATTAATTAAAATATAAGCACTTTTGTAACAATTAAGAACTACTGCAAAAAATGATGTTTACATATATATTCTAAAAAAATAATAATTTAAAACTGAGTCATTCAGTCGCTAGAAAATAATCAATAACCAAAAACATACTCATAACGAAGAACACGAATTTATTTACTAAACGGCCCGTAGATAAAACTGACAGAAGCAAATCCAAGCTATCATCAAACGCATTACCTGCACATCGACTGACTCAGTGCATTATAACATTTGACCCTACAACCTTAAGCCGTCTCTCTGAATCCTGCATGGTCCTTGTTATTAGACACCCTGATGCAATGTTTCATGCCCTTTATCCATTATGAAGTTTCTGATTAAAATTATCCTGCTTTTAATGTCTGTTTCGACTTATAGATAGTGTTATTTATTTTTTGTTATTTATAACGTTGCCCCACACTAGGATTTTCTTTTATGTCGTGGATGCGTTTACATTCATACAAGTTCACATACACATGACACCTAGACCTTTTTAAAAAGCCTACTAATACTTTACCCGCGTGAATCGAACCCAAGACCCCTTCCTCGGCAGGCGCACTTGCGACCATTCGGCCAACGAGGCTTTATACTGCATTAATAGTTGCATTAATGCAGTTATAAAGCTGTTTAAACGATGATGTCATAAGTAATTAATTAGAAACAAGTTGAGATGTATTAATATTAATGTTATAAGGAAATGTTATCTTCATTCGAAGGCAATGTACGTAATAGATAAGTTGCAATTGAATGCATTTATTAGTCTGACCGTTTTAAAATCACTCATATCATTACAGTAAAATATGTTTATATTTGGTTAATATTTACATTAACTATTAACGAAATATAATTAAAAATGGCAATAGGCTCACCCCCTATAACATGGGGCTCATAACATACATAGTGAAAAGTGGGTGCTACATTGTGCAGTGGCATAATGTGCACCTCTGTCTACGCCTTCGAGGACAAAAGGCGTGATGTTATGTTATGTTATACAATGTTGTACAAGTGTCTATAAATACGGTACTCAACGAGTTAAACAACAATACAACGATTTCAATATTAAAAAAACCATTTTATTAAAAAAGCTTTCCCTAAAAACTAAATCAGACAAATGCAGTCACAATCATTTTCAAGATCTACCAAACGTACTGTACACGGCGACCTATTTTCCAAAATTTAATGACAACAAGACACAAAAATATAGTATAATACAGTAATACCCAAGCATTTTGTTGCAAAAATTTTGCCAGTCACGTTTTTGACTTCCAGAGAAATAAGATCAAAGAGCGACGCATTTCATTTCACTCGGTACGTTACCATTTACGTCGGAATTCCATCAATTTCAAAAATAATTTTTTAAATCTTTTTTTTAAACAGGAGAGGTCTTTTGTTGTTTGTGAGTGAATGGAATAAAGGAGTGAAATCGATGAGGAGTGAGTAGTGGATCTCTTATTAGCTAATATAGTGCAGCACGCGATGCCCCGGCGCAGTCTGGTTTGATGTGTTCCGCTTACGGCTCGGAATTATTGAAAATATATTTTTTTTAAATTGAAACGTTATACAAACTGTATTTCTGAATTTAATGGCAGGTTATGTACATATTACACTTGAAGACACCCGCTTCTGATGCATGAGCAAACCTACCAACGTTAAGTACCAATGTGACTTTTTCCGAGTTATATGTACTTTCGAAGATTATCTAGACACCACTGACAAACAGTGAAGGAAAACATCATGAGGAAACCTAGACTTATAATTTCTAATTATAAGTTTGTATTCGCCAACCCGCATTGAGCGAGGCTGGTGAATAATGCTCAAACTTTCTGCAGCTGAGAAGAAAGAGGCTTTGCTCTGAAGTGGGCATTTGTAGGCTAATGATGATGATGAATCATCTTCATATTTTATTCAACCCAAAAATTGAACCTGAACTGATACTTGAACTCTGCTAGTTAGTTACATTTGCGATTACTCAACTAGCAAAGTGGTTAGTTTTAGAGTATTTGTCGAATAACGAATAAGATAGAATTGAGAAATTTTGTTATTTTTCTTGTTGTCATCCTTTTAGTCGAGGCCACGATGCATTAAGGACAAAAGACGCAAGAAGGAGGGCGAGAAGGATCCTGCCAGTCATAAGTAGAGCACATCAAAGTCGCATGTGTATCGTGGGAACGCGATACATTACCTCCGCAACTGAGAGGGCTCTAACTCCTAACCTATTTTATGTATAAGGCCATCCTCACCTCACGAGCACTTTCCGTATTTTAACGAAAATTCCGTGAGCTTCGAACAAAGGCTCCAATTTATATGAACACGTGAATCGGAATGCTGTTAGCTCAGAATTATTGGGTTCTGATCTAGATAAAGTAAGTTTAAATGGAATTCACGTATGTACATATCATTATTATTTAGAAGGCAGTATATTTGCATGTTTAAGTTATGTTGGAAGAAAATATATGTGTCTGATATAGTCCAAGGAAATGAATTGGAGATGACAGAGGACAATTTTTCTTTAGTAATCTTTTCATATAGCGAAATGTGTTATTTACATTCCTATTACTATTTCGGATCATGAAACTAATAAGGCTTTTCTTCGGTGGTCTTCTAGCTAAGGATGTAAGTAACTACTCCAGCACTATTAAATGGCTAACAAAGGCTAACATAAAACGACGGAGTAATTTACTCATAACTAAAAATTTTCATTCGAATTTTCATAATAAGTGACCGCAACAGGTTTCGGTATTGTGTAAGTATAATTTCCTGTGAAAACTTAACCTGTTTTCCCACGCTGCGAGCCGTTACAAAGGCAGCTAATAATTTAGACAATTTTCCAATATCAGGCTTTGTTTGGTTCATGTTATAAGAGAATCGTGGTGTAAATATTTTTGCATTAGCATAAAGTTACTATAACTATATACTGTATACTATACTATAGTTAGTGGTCGTCAGTGAAAATATTGTTAAGATTTTGTTTCTTTTTCATTATCCGTCTATTATGACGATGCCGTCACATCGCTATACTAGTAAATTGATTAATTCTGAAGGATTAACTTTTATTAAGGCAATATTAACTATCTAGCAATGAAACTAAAACTTTGATTTTCGATGTCATATCCGACCATCCGGTCTAAAACCAATCACCAACCAAAAATTATACGTGTAGAAAAAAGGTTTTCTATCACAAATCGCTTTCCGCTTACAGCTCGCTCCAACCACCGAGGGTAGTCCATAGAAACCGCAACAGCGTATCGGTGGTACAGTACACGCCACTCGCATTACCTCGTAAGGACCATACCTCCATACCTCTATCTCATTCGTTCGCTCTATAAATTCTAATACCATGTTAGAGCATAGAAAGCTTTATTACTACTGCATGTTTATGTTATCCTAGTACTATTTTCATAGATTTATTTGTTGTATGTATACGTTTGTTTTGTAAGGTTTTCGAATTGCAGGGACATTATAATTTTGTTATTGGGTTGAAATAAGTTTGCTTTGAATTGAGTAATCTAACGAAGTTGCTTGTGTGTCAAACATTTTTGAAATGTATTTTTGTTTTAGAGATAGCTTATCGTATTATTAAAAACCTTGAAAACATTTAAAAAAAAATTCTTTTTATAATAATAAAATTGGCTTAATATCACGCCTTTTTATCCCCGAAGAGGTAAACCTAGGTGCACATTGTAGCACTTAATGCAGTGGCATTAAGTGCTACAATGTGCACCTAGTGGGTGTTACAATGTACAGTGGTACATTGTAACACCCACTTTTCACTGTTTTTTTTATGAGTCCCATGTAATAGGGGGTGAGTCTAGTCTAGTCAAATTAAATTTATATAAAAATACATTCAATAAAACAACGATATCTGAACAGAGCCTGTCCAAGATATTCCACCATAAATTCCACTACGAATCTTCAAACCATCAATAAACACAAAACATTGACATTACATGGCACCGACAATCCCGACATTGATTCACAATCTATCTAGCAATTTGCTAGGTGAAACGCTCCTAATATCGGCAATTGACAGTTCATAAGTCCGGACAAGCCTTAGGCATTACTTCTGTCCACTCATAACAATTCTTACTTAGAATTCTCCGTCCCTTAAGGGCGGGTCTATTCGCACAAGAATTATTTTACGTTGCTTTAAAAAATCGTTTAAATAGAACCAATTGTCTTTGAAACTCATGCAACATTGCTTGATAGAAGCGTTGCGTTATCAAAGCGCCTTTTTAAGAGGAAAATCATCCAATAGCTTCTCCCGCCTTGAATAAGGCGAGAGGGAGTGTCAGACTGTTACTGATTAAAAACCACCCCGTTCGTAGACCAGCTTCGAGCAGGAGGCCCGGTAGGACATAATTATGTAGCTACTATTAAATTTGTTTTCTATGTATAACTGTTAGTAGTGTTCCCTGTAAATAAATAATACACTAGTAGATGCATATTTTGTTATATTTCGAACGCTTTTTAACGCGCGTTCAAAAGCTCTCGTGCGAATGGTGCCTTTAGGGCTTTCGTCCATTTCCCTCTGTACTAAACACACACACATACGCATTGACACGTTTAGCATGTGTTTTGTGACATTTTAAGGGCAAAGGTTAGTTCAAACTCAAATGTTTATGGTTGTACTGAGAATATGAAGTAGGGTCTTGGTAAACCGATTTACGAGATTTAAACATGACATTATTGATGTAGACCTGAGCTTCTTGAGAATTTCTTGGTTAGATCGAGTTTATTGTGCCACACGAATTGCCACCTTCTGCCACATGAAGTGTGTGAACTATCTGCTCCATAATTTGTTGCAGAAGTTAATTATTTTTTGTAATTTAAACTGTCAAACACCAAGCGGTCACCGGTGACCGCAACCTATTGTTCTTTAATTGTGTCTATAAATACGGTACTCGACGAGTTAAAACGTCTGGGCTAATCTTTCATATTTTTTGTTAGGTTAGTTAGGGTAGGTCATATGTTTTAATTTCCTATTGGCTGTAAGAACTGTCATATTTTTATGACAACCGAGGGCGACCGCTTATTATTATGACTAGGTAGATATACAAGTGTAGTTTTGAGACCGTGTCATTTCTCGGGAGCATGTCACAGAAGTCATAAAGGTTTAATGTAAGAAAAAGTTTCGGGCCAATAGTTAAAAATACGGCTATAACAAATCGTTTAAGTTCGACAGCAATGTTTTCTTATTGGAGTTTTATGCAATTAGGAATAATATCAATTTCGTGTTTGAGTTTGTGTGTATCAAGCCGCGTTATAAAACTAGTTACAAGACGGCGGCTTGCAGTTTTTCCGTAATTTACAGAAAAATGAAAAATATATACCTACAATTTTTTTTATTGATTCGGACTCAGAGTCGATAGCAAAGTTACCTCCTAGAAAATGACGCGGATTTTTGATGTGTATATTCTATGCTTTTAGAACGTTATAAGTCTAGTACCCACTAGTATCTAGTCCCACGGTAAGTGGACATTTTACAAAGTATTACAAAGGCAGTTAAGAATGTGGGTGGGTAACACAAAGCTGGTCATGCTCCAATTATGTCGCGAAAGTTCAGTATAAGGTTACAACGTAATTAGTGTTTTTATCATAAATATTAAGCATCTATCAGTTTGTTGTCAATTTGTTAAGGGCTTAACAATTTCTAATCTATTTTCTGTGGAGAAAATTTCTTTCATCTGCAGTATTGGAAAGTAAATTGAGTTTTATTATTGGCAAGTTCCTGAGCGATGATTTCGTTTAAACATCACGCTTCTTTAATCCTTGAAAGAGTAAGCAGAAGAATACATAATACACAATGTATTATTCGTTTTTACCAGGTATGTTATGAGCTCCATGTAATTATAGAAGGTGAGCCTATTTCTGTTAATTGGGCTCTAACCTAGATTCCAGTTCAAATGTGTAACATATCTGTCTCTAATGTAGCGGGATACTCAAGAAATATTACCTTGCCTAACCCAAGAATTACAGAAACACAAGACCTCTTGCTTTGGTATTTGTACCTGGGTCTACTTGACAAATAGGTAAACTGGTCGTTACAAAGTAAAGACAGACATCACCACTGCTGAGTAAAGCCTCTTCTTACACGGAGAAGGTTTGAGGATTAATCACCACGCTTGTTCAATGCGCAAAAACTTATAATTAGAAATTATAAGTTCAGGTTTCCTCACGATGATTTCCTTTACCGTTTGTCAGTGGTGTTTAAATAATCTTGGAAAGTACATATAACCTGGAAAAAGTCACATTGGTGCTTGCCGTTGGTAGGTTTCGAACTCGCACCCTCATACATGAGAGGCGGGCTTCTTAAATCTCCGGTCCACCACGAGCAGTAAATACAGTTACTAAGTATATAAATAATGCAATATCAAATGTCCACAACCAGTATAAGCAAATTTAAGTCCAATCACCTAATCAAGGTAGATCCATAAACAATTTGCGCTCATTATTCTCAGTTACAACTGACAGATGGTTGGGCTTTAATCGAAGATTAAAATTATCTGTCAGCTAATGAACAGTACGTTGCGCCGGCGCCGGCCGAGTTATTTAACACCCTGTAGCGAACATCGCTTATTGGATTATAATTGTTTTTCACGCCTATTTCGAGTTATTGAAATAAATCTTTTGTTTAATATTTATTATTGTTTTCGTGTGTTCGTTGATATTGTTTAGCATATTGGTATGAATTTGTTTGTATTGTTTGGGGAATTAATAAATTAAATTATTGAAACATTACTTGCCAAGTATGAATTTTATAGTAAACCCTGACTAGGATTTAAAGTATATAATTTATGCACGTGGTAGGAAAGTTGCAGTTGGAGTTGGGGATATAACATATAACATAACGTCTTTTTATCCCCGAAGGGGTAGGCAGAGGTGCACATTACGGCAATTACGGCACTTAATGCCACTGTACCTACGTACAATGCAATACCCACTTTTCACTATTTATGTTATTAGTCCCATGTAAGCGTTAGCCTATTGCCATATACCGGGCACAATTTCAGACTCCGTGCTACCGAGACCCCTTGCCCGGCCCGCACTTGCGATCACTCGGCCAACAAGGCAGTTGGAGATTAAACTTTAAATCCAGGTGATCCAGGTTTATCACAGAGTGTTTTGGCCTGATCTCGTCAAATACGTAATCAGCTCTAATGACTCCTGTGGGCAGAGTACAGCTGGAGATAAAAGTACACTGTTTGATATAAAACAAATATATTCTTCCGTAATTAAAGCAAAAAATCTTCTCACACCTTGAACCAACTCTAAAATAGTCAATGAACCGAATTGTAAGCCTAATCGTAATCATTAACAATAGCTTAAAGAGACTAAGCTCCTTTTGTATTCACACGACTGCATATTAAACAATACATTACCATTACATCCTGACCTCTTATCATGTAAATTTTTGAGTATAAAGGAGTTCAAAATATACTGGATAGTATAGTTTGATATGCGTTTGACCTTGAACAATGATGAACAGAAGACAAGGTTAAGTAGTGGGAAGTAATTAAGGATTTAATGTTCTTAAATGAACAAAGAAATTATGTCACTTTGATATTAATACGCTACGAAACGAGACCTTTGGCAAATATTTAGCGCACTCCATTTACTCGCCATACTTCTATATTGCAAATATTCTCTACTACGGCCTAAGAAAATTTAAACCTCTATTGACTAAATCAGGTGCGTTTACAAACATACAATATCACATACACATGACACCTAGACCCGGAACAACAATCTGTGGATCACACAAAGAGTTGTTCCGTGGGGGAATCGAACCCGCGACACGTTGCGCGGCAGCCAGTTGCCCAGCCACCGAGCCAACAGTGCAGTCAAATTCTCAGCTATGCTACCATACAATATTTTACTTAAAACTCGCTTCATCTCCTAACTTAAATCATAAAAAACTAAACTATTTACATCCGTTTCAACCTCTATGTAGAAGCATGTGTCATCCTTATGAGAGTTGACATCTTAAGACTTGCACATTACATTTTTAATTGGCCCACGAGACATCTTAATTTTATTTAACAACAATAGCACAGTCCGTCTGTTTATAATCTAGTTTTTTGTTCAGCTAATGCGATGTGTCTGCGGTCTAGATATTTTGAATGGTTTCTAGGTATGTTGTTTTTTAATTGTTTTTGTTCTGTTTTATATATTTGTGTCCTTTTTGTTTTGAAGATTGCGTACGAGTAGTATGGCATGTCAGTCATGAGATATTAAACTTAGTGCTCTTCAAGTGTACTGGGCCATAGGCTGTAAAATGTATAGAAGTTGTTTAGACTT